AGTTGAAGAAATTTGTTGTAGTGTCTTTCATTAAAACGGTTTAACAGACCTGACAGTCGTTGAAAGGACAAGATACAGCTGTAGTATTAAAAAAAGCTCCCAAAATGAAGTAGATGAAACATGCTTGACCCCAAAGCCAGGCCTCGAAGCAAATCCACTCTGTACTGTTTACCTCTTTCATCCGTCACTCGATCTATCTTTGAAAACATTACATATGCTTTATGTAGCAGTCGAGGTCCCCAAACGACCAGAACGATACGAAAACAATATCGCTGAAAGTTAAAAGTACGCTTCCCAAAGCCGAGTAGACCTCACCCGTTGCCCCACCCTGATCTCTGTTGGAGCTGAAAGAGAATTTATGAATTTATCGGTAAATTGATGAAGGTACTTGATATCTCGAAGGGTTACAGTGAAAGCTGGTGTTAACCCCTTGCGAGAAGAGCCGCGTCGATCTTTCTTATCTAGGAAAGATCGAAGCGACTCGCTCGCGGGATAAGCTGATGTAAGTGAGCCCAAAGAAATTAACGGCAGACTTAGGAATCGGGCTATTTGATTTCGGCTGTGATACCAAGATTACTGTCAAACTCGAATATCGACCGAATTATGACTGATTTGAAAATGCTTTGTGGTTGTGCAATATATCCTCTGTTAGCCTTGATACTATTTTAAACAAAGAGAAGTTCTCATGGGAACAGCCCTCAGGGGCAAGTTGACAACCACTTGTTAAGTATTACACCAGGTGACCCTGACGTCACTCGAGCAAGACGAATAAATTGGTCGCGTCGCCCGCGGAGTCTGATAACTCGGTAGCTGTCAGTTGCAAATTGTCTCTGTTCGTTGGTTGCTTTTCGAAGGAGGGATCATTTAACTTTCGGCGATTATTTCTTTTTGAACTTGCTTTTAAAATCTACAACATTTCAAAATGGTAAGTTTAACAGCACTTTATTTTCGTGATCACACCGCGGCTTAAAGGTTTCGGATAAGAGATGAATTCTGAGTGAGCAGGTGGTGTTCATCATTTTCGACGAGCGATAGATGATTTAACTTAAACCTCGGATTCTTCGAAGTA